CTGGTGAAAATTTCATGTCATTAGCACCTCTAGTAATATATTTACTGAGAAAAATGGTGACGTGTTCAATACTTATTTTACCCGCTGTATATAAAGTACTTGAAATACTGATGTAAATGTAAAAATATCTTAACAAAAAATTATTTTGGTAAAAATTAATTTCACTAATAAAAGTACTTAAAAGGCATAATAAAACTGCTCCAAATAATTGAAAAAATAAAGTGAAAGTACTTTTACACTAAAAAATGGTGTTGAATTTATTTATATATTTTTAAAGAAAATATGTGAATTACTTTCAATTTCAGCTCTGTTTAGTGGTAAGTAAATTCAACTTAATTTTTTAAAAGTGCATAAATACCTTTCATGAGTTGGTCATATTTAAATTTGTAACTACGTAGATGTTAAATTATAAAGCAAAGAAATAAAAGTATTTTTATATTTTGAATGTGATGAAATAAAGTTATGATTACAAACCAATGTTAGTAAGACGAATCTTCAAAAAGAATACTTAAATCCTGTAAGAAAGTAAATGTACTTAGTGTACAGATCTGAGCCTCACATTTATTTCTATGCCACGTTCACACAATATGTCCTCATCATCAGAGACACTGATTGCTTCAGTAATCRTGGAGGAGCTGCAGATGAAACCATCACTTAAAAATGAGTGGACTGCAGATCTGTGAAAGCTCTCACCATCTGACAAATGACCCGAAACATTTCTGTTTCCGCTTCAGTTTCCGCCGTAATCTGATCAGTGTTTCAGCTCCCAGTTAGGCAGCAGATTAGAAGACCCTCAGCTGGGCAGTTTGTCTGTGTTAACAAGTAAATCACAGCGTTCCAACACACTGCAGTGACTCACAGCTGCAGGCTGCATGACTGACTGAGTTACTCATCTCTGTTCCTGTTGACAAGGTCAGGCATCAAATCTGATCAKCTGTCAGCTTTTTCCACTCTTTTCAATATATTAAAACAACTAACAGGTCAGTTTGTTCCTCCATCCATCATGCTGAGGCTGACTCCAGCTCCTCTGTGTTGTATGACTGGACCTCTGCTCCAGTAAAGCCGCTGACTCAACTCTGGCATGAAACCTCCAGCTCAGCTTTTTGTTCACCGTCTCAGAGGAGCACATTCAGTCGCTCTGCTCTTCTCATGGAGGGAGGACAGAAGATGAGCTGTGGCACTCTGGAGACTAAAATATTCTGAGGGAAGAGGTTTTTTTTTTTTTTTTTTTTTTTTTTTTTTTTTTTTTTT